ATTTTATCCTGTTAACAACTTAGAATATTCTAGAATGGAAAATTCCATTACCTGACTGTATTTCCAGAAAATGATAACTGCGCCCTAGGTCAAGTAGAGATGGTTTATAATCTTGTTTACTTGAAAATTTATTCATTCTTGCATTTAACATCATTAGCAGAATCATTTTTACTGATGTTTTCAGTATTTGATTTGGGTGCAATTATTTATTAAAATTATCATTCTGTAGAAGGACAATATAATTTTCAAAAATATCTTTGGAAAAAACATTTATTTAGAAATATAGTGAATTCAGACAAGGACACATTTGATTATATTATTGTGATTAATTGGAAAATTGTTATCATATCATCACACTTCAGGCCACTGGTACATTAATTCATTCAAGGCTACATGCACCACGAGATGCAATCGAAATATATTCATTGGTAGAATTTTATTTTTGACACATTTCAAATATAACATAGGAACTTACGATCAGACAATATCATAGTTAACAAAAGTTTTAACTCCTTAAACAATTGGGATGAGTAGTTATACGTTTGAATCTCAAAACTGACAGAGTGGTTGAAAAACAATACAGTATTATAACAGCGAGTTGAGATTTCGGTTACTGCACTAGGTCAAAGCCTCCAACATTACTCCCATGAATTTCTCCTCCCAGTATAAGCGAGAGTATTATTTACGCGCGAACTCATCCTCCAACCCTACGCGATGTTACCCCAAAGCGGCCCAATGCACAAATACTACATCATAATGCGAAAGAAGGATCGTGCATAAAGAGAACATTTTGATAAGAAAGAAAACAAACCTCTATTATCATACTACTCCGGCCAGTCGATTAAGGTTCCGAATCCCGAAGTAAAGGATTTATCTACAAGAGTGTAACCCGCGTGAGCCCCACGATGCATCATGCTGCTGGGAATACCAACAGACGTTGACGAAAATTTACTCGATTTTCACTGCCTGTAAGTTACCTACATGATTTGGATGGGTAACGCTCCGGTTCGTATTTGTCCTCAAACGATGGTTTTCCATTTCGAACTCAGTCAATTTAATCGTTTTTATCCTCCATATTTTATTTGTGCTGCCACGAGAAGTTCTGAGTGGATACGTGAATGTAAATGTCGTGAAATTATTTTACCAGCACCGCCAGTCACAACAGTTGCTATCGATATATCCCTGACAGCTAATCAGATTGGCGTGCTTATGATAATTTGTGTGGCTACAATTCTAGAAAAACAGGGGTGTAACTCACGAAAATGTTCAAGCATTAAAAGTCCGAGTAGATGTCACACCGGAGTTTCACTTTTCGATTCAACGCGATACATTTTAATATGCTCTTGTCAGGTTCTGGCATGATTGTACACAACGGCTTTTCACAGATTCCACATTAATAGATGCATTGGTCGTCAAGCACAACGTCTGCATGGAAATTTCCTTCCCTCGCACTTAACTGTGCTGGTACACTATTCAGAGAAAATATTTTATCCATAGCTAATGATACTGCACCACTGAGCCGTCCATGTTGCTCAACAAAAACAAATCAACCTCAGACTGCCCATATGTTGGGATAGCTTAGTCGGATGAAGACCGTTCTTCCAAGCTAACAGATTGACTGCGATAGTTGGGATGATTTCTTCAAATTGTTTTGAACAAGGTCTTAGTAACCTGCATACAGAAATCTGATGTGTTTCAACCAGGTACTCTCCATATATTTTCGCGACTGATCTGTGTTATCACTAGCAGGACACAGAGCAGACAAAATAGCCCATTCAGAAATATCGATTGTCGTCAAGAAAATAATTCGGCGTTTTAATATAATTTGACCTATAGAAAGGCTTTAACGGGAAATATGCAGTTGATCTACTCATCTGATCCTACGACGGTGTAATTTTTCAATGTCATGAGAAGATTTGCAAAAGCGTTATCAATTTTATCGTTAATGGTCTCGGAATCTTTGCGATTTAAGATAACACCGGCACGACTGTGAATTGACAAGGTTCCGTTTTTTGACACATCTTTTTCTTGTGAATTGAGGTTAAGCTGCACATTCAGACGCGCATGGAGAACAATCTCCATCTTAATCTCCAAGGTACCAGAGTGCTGAAACATTAATATAATTCAAAGATGTACCTTCTAAAGACGTTTTATAGCGTCGTTACCTATCGCAGTGGGATAATTGCTCTATAATCTTGTAAATTATGAACGCGCTTGGTCATTGTAAATTGTGACACTTGGAGTCTTCGTGCTTTTGAATCAGCCTCAATGTCATTGGTACGTGCGATAAGGTGGCGACGCTCTTGTTCAAATCATCAATATGTTTGATTTCGGATCGTCTGGCTCGTGGATGAACTTTAATATGCACTTACGCAGATGTTATGCAAAGCTTCTTCATTGTCTGACTCAACTCTTCTAGAAGTCTTAACAACGCAAGTATACTCACCTTGGCTGTACATCTCGGTATTTTTATTTAACTCTCGCACTAGTTGCCTGGGATGGTTCACAATCCACATGCTTGTATGTAAGATACAATCATAGTCTAACTGCTTGTTACATTTGTGTAAAACTTTTACTTAGCTAGGGTTTGAAGAAACTGATATTACTTCAGTCCTAGCTGTTATTTCATTGACGTCTGAATCATTTCCTCAACGGCATCGCTAGGCTTTACATTTAAAAAAGTAGCTTCAATATTAGAGTGTTTGAGGGACTTTAATCCGATACCACATTTAAGGCATCGCCATGCAAAGAAATCAACACGTAACGCGAGCAGGTGGTATCTACAATATCCATCATGGCACTTTCTGCTACGGAGTTCACTTTTTCTGAAGCATGCATTTTTGTACCAATACCGTTGAACTTCCCGTATATACAGAAACTTTATGTAATGGACTTTTCCGTCACCGCTGTTTGATTTCCCCATATTAATATCTGAATCAGCGGGATACAAACTAGGTTATATATTAGAAGGTTTTGGAGTCCACCAAGCGAAAGGTCATATTTTTGTGTTACAATAATGCGAATTTGTACGTCAGCCCTTTGTAAACTGAAAGAGTTGTTCTTGTCGGAATCATATATATGATTTGAAAGCTTGAAAAATATTTCTCTTAAGATAGTGTCGGTCGAAATCACCCGTTATCGAGTATGATAGCAACTCGAATACAACGATACTTTGTCCACTTACATCGAACCACATCAAACGTTGTGGAGTACTTGTATATTTCGGAAACGAAATAGCGATGCAATCTTTCATCCTACATTACAAATATGCGATTGTCCAGACAATGTGATTCCCGCATTAGACACTCTCATAAATCCTTTCTAAATACTATACACATCAATATATACCCAATAACTTTTATCTAGCATCACGCTGTAGTAGTTGTGCATTGGAACACATTGTGGAAACTTCGCTTCTTAGGATCGCTCGTATATAATGCACTCGCATGTGATGTAAAGTAATGGGGAGGGAGCATAAGACTTAGACAAAAATCACTAATCAAAATTTCAGATAGCTATTATTATACTACTAATACATTGTGAATATAGTTCCAATATTGCATGTTTATTTGGTATGGTTAACCTTCATAAAATGGGTTTTTTGCTGTTCTTTAAATCTAACTTTTTAGAACTTACCTTTTAATCGTCACAACATATCCAACATTGTGCTGTCGTTCTATTAAACCCCTTATGATTTACCAATAGCTTTGGTCGACGAGGTTCACGGGATTTGAACCACTTTATCCTAACTGCCCAGAGCACAAGACACAGACTGAGAATTGTCTTCCTTAAAGTTGGAATTAACATGAGCGTGGAATTTTTCTCTTTTAAAAAAAATGTCGTGAGACATGTATCGGTTCTTTCAGCTTTTACACAGAGTGTAAATGCACTGTTGTTTCGGTTGTTCTTCCTAGCAGGCTAAGATGATCTTTTCCCAATCCAGGCATGCGCATTTTAATTCCTGGTCTTATCCGCTTATTCATTTCATAAGGTGTGGCTATAAAATGGCTTATCCTGCCCGCGCCCTGGAGGAAGTTACATGTGCCCAGTCCGAGACTGTTGATTAAAGTACCTCTTTTACATGTGCCGTGTTTAAGAGACATTTATTTCAACAACAAATAATAATCCCACGAAATTAGGATCCCCATACTGATCGTCCAGAAAGTTTGCGGTACGTTGGATGAAGAAGGGCATGTGTCATATAATTGACCATATTGTAAACAAATTAATCTTAGTCGTTTTAGCTTTATATATTATAAATAATACGTTCTGTTGGGCACATCATATATCGTTAAAGGTTAACAATATTCTTTCCAATCTGTCACGTCTCTGTGTGTGTGTGTGTGTGTGTTTGTGTGAGTGAGAGAGAGAGAGAGAGAGAGAGAGAGAGAGAGAGAGAGAGAGAGAGAGAGAGAGAGAGAGAGAGAGAGAGAGAGAGAGAGAGAGAGAGAGACAGCAGCAGCAGCAAATTGTTTGAAATTGTATATCCTTTTTTATTTATCCAGACACAGTAATGAATCACCATATAATCAACTTCTGGGGCATCTTTGACGGCGGATGGAGAGCTATCAGTTAGATAATTAAGTTACACCGGATTTTGGACAGTGATTTTTATTTTGGCATGAACAACGAGAACAATTATTAATTCAATGGCAAGGTTTTACTAAATTAAGAAAGGCAATTATATTAATTAAGTCAGCTGGACCTACTTTTCAGTATTTCCCCTCCCATTTGATCATTTCAGCCATTAATGTATGGCCTCAACTTATCTGTTCTTGGCGCTGGAAATATCATGTGTAAATGACGCAAATGTTATTTCACTGACTCGTTGGTTTCACATGCACTTTGAACAAATTATGTGCTATATCACGCCTAAGAAAAGTAAAGCTAAGTGACTTTCATAAGGACAGGTCGAGGCAGGCGATTATGGCTGGCCTAGACAGATATTGAACTTGCTACCCTGGGATTAAGAATCCGACATTTCATCAACTGAGCTGACAGCTCTGGTGGCTCAGTCATCAGAGCGTCCGCCTCGGATGGGGAGGTCGCGGGTTTGAACCCTGGGCTGAGTCATACCAAAGATTTACAAAAATGGTACTAACAGCTGCCTGGCTAGGCGCTCAGCTTTAACAGGTTAGTGTTAAGACTGGTCGGCCTGGTGTCACGATAATATGATTGGATGGGACATCGTGCTATATGTGTGCGGCAAGATGCCCTGTGCTAGACATCACTATAAACTGTCACACTGCAGACATCGTAGCGATATGACTGAATAATTGTTTAAGCTACGTTAATAATCCAGATCACACACACGCACTTACACACACACGCACATACACCCTAACCAGCTGAGCTAATGTGGCTCTGCGATACTATGGAGGAAACTCTCAAGGACGATGATCGGCACTACACAGCAAGACAAAACGTGATATAGGATACGATGGAGAAGTTTTATGTGGTTCTAAGGGCACTTTTAACACGGTATTGGCTATAGCATGCCATTTTAAATGGTAGCTAAGTGCCTTTCCCAAGAACACAACAAGGCATTCAATCCGGACTGGACTGAACGAATATCGAATCCCCAACCCTTGGATTATGAGTCGGACGCTCTATCAACTGAGCTACCAAGGCATGGTTCAAGGACACGACGGGGAAGACTCCCTGAAAGATTTAACATGGCATTACATATCACTGTTGGATTTTGAAGAAAAAAAAGAAAACAAAATCAGACAAAGATTTTTAACAAAATGTTCACAGTTCTATTTCTCCACTTTTAATATTTCCGCATGAGTTGATTAAGGGCATTAAATTTTTGTTGTACAATTGTAAGATAAGGACTAATTGTTTGAATGAAGGATCAACTAAAGCTACAGTAGTATTAGAAAACAAGGGTTTTAGCCCAAACCCTTTTTTCCTACTACTACTACTACTATTACTACTACTACAGACAGGTATTTTATAACCAGACAAAACAACAGGTGTTGGAATGCTATGATTCATCCCAGTAAGCTCTGTCATACAGAGGTGACAAATTTGTTAGAACAGCGCATGCATGGAATACGATTATTCTAAAGACGGCAAATGGGTTTTATAATCAATCTACCACAAGTTTTTTTATCAGATAACAGGATGAAAATTAAACTTTGCATTATAATGTTTCAGTTAACAAGACGGAAATTAAACTAGCATTAGAATGAAAATGTTATTATTTTATACCTCGTGACTAATGATTAATGTTTCAACTTTTGATATTAAAAATATTTCATTATCACGATTATAGTTATTAAATTTTACTTTACCGCTCACACAGCGACGGGACTCAAACAAATCTTTTATTTCTGGTTTGTTCAGAGGATATTTTTTGTCGATAAAATACACCTTTGACCGATTGAGATCAATTGTGAGTTTAGTATATTTTTGTTGGCTAATGGGGCTGTGAAAGTTTTTAAATTCCGCTAGCAACATTTGATACAATTGTTCGATATAATTGAAATACACGCTATTATCAGATTTGATGAGTGAAAGTTTCAGCTTGTCACGTGTTCCATTAAAACATATACCTGATGTTTCATTATTAAATTCAACTATCAATTGTTTACCGTCCATCATTATATATTTGATGTTACTATTGTAGCTATTTGTTATTGTCAACTTTTCAAATATTATTTTATAAGTTTAGATAAAATTTTAGTTGGAAAAGATAATGTCAAATTTTCAAACATTATTTTATAAGTTTAGATAAAATTTTAGTTGGAAAAGATAATGTTAAATTTTCAAACATTATTTTATAAGTTTAGATAAAAATTTCAGTTGGAAAAGATAATGTCAAGTATAGATCTATCATCATGACAATACCCAAGGGCAAATGTATCTACCCCATTTTCACAATAGCGTTTGTCATCAAAATTACACAATCCACGTTTGATAATGACATCTGTTTCGAGTTTATGAAGATTAGTTCGAATTGCCATAGCTCTCATAAAACTAACACCGCCATCAAGCGAGTACTTGTAGTCATCAAATTGCATAAACTTTTTAACAAAATTACGAGGCAGACCTTTCGCTTTGTTCGTTATTTTATTATTATCTAACAATACGGCATACATTTTGCTGCGTAATCCGATAAAGTATTTGATAGCGCTCTAGTTCATTTCATCTTTGAACTTACCAATAACCTTTTTATTTGTGTCGTCATGAAATTTACTGCCACGTGGGTAATCAGAAAGATCAAACAGATATCTATTATCAAACATATCCTGATAGATGTCTTCGCATTCGATTTCATACACGAGTGAATCAGTATCAGTAAACAATAATCTACTGGCCGGCCATTGATTTTTAACAAAATTATAATGAAAATCGTACATCAGCCACTTTGATAAATCCAACACTGCAGCTCCAACGTAGATCGGCTTGTTTAGTTTTAGATTTGTTTTTCTTCTTTGTATCGCAACAAGATTCTCATTAAAAATTTTCATGCTCACAAAATCATCGTCTTACACAAGTTTGTTTCTACGACTGATATCATTAACTAGTTCAATATTTACGCGTTTCCTAATATTCTCCATCGTCTTACCAAAAACGGAATTGTTCATCAGTTTAAAAAAGTTTTTCTCAAACTCTGTTTTTGCTGCAGCCTTTTTTGAAGTGTTTGAGTTCATATAACCTCTCATCCACGGCGAATGATTAAATTTTAGTACACGATGAACTTTTCTCAACACAAGACTGCTTGTTTTAAAACTTTGTAATGCAAAACATAATGACGTTTATTAAGCAAATTTGGTACTAGTTTTTTTTACCATGGAATGTTGTCTTGGTGAGGCTAACACTTATTGTTCTTTTGATAACAAACTATAATCTATGACCATTGATTCCGCACAGAAAGGGTAATCGTTATGCAATTTGTGTAGCCAAGTTGGATAATCGAGATCAACTTCAACGAAATATGAAACATCGTCAGGTATCTTTTTTTCTGTCTCCGATAGAAATCGATCAGCCGTAATCCAATGAAATCCACCAAGAGGCATTGGTTCTGCCATCGAATATCCGTACAAGTTATTACAATCTAGATAAACTATATACTTCGAAGGAAGCTCAGGATTATACTGTTTCAAATATTTGTTGTTTGCTTCAGCATATTTTTTTGTTATCACGCTAATACCGCCTCTGATACCTTTTTCGATAAAATTGAACATATCAACGTCAGTCAGTAATTCTAACCTTACCTTACTAAACTTTAGCAGAGCATCCCATGACAGCCCAAGGGCAGAATAATACCAACAAGGATCTAGTCCGTAATTATTATAACTTACTTCTCGAAAACTTTCAAAAACATTTGCTAATAATAACACGTCAGTTTTCAGATATAAATCATGATAATCACCAAAAGTCTCACAATCAAACTCTTTCCAGATATCTTGTGCATACCTGTACTCATCATCGGTTATATTTTCATTTTTAAGTTGCGAGTAAAATTTATCTTTGTCAGGTAAAGATGTTTCATCAAATTTACTCCAGTCGTCGAGGTATTCGTATGGAAAAACTCCTTTTTTAGCTAGTAGATTAAATTTATCTCCAAAACAGTCTCTTAGGTTATGAAATTTACTACAACCTTTTACTATCTCATCTAACGAGGCTGCAATAAACTGCAGGCTGTCAATGAAACGCAATTTACCTAGCGTAACTGACATGTACTTTTCAAAATTATTTGGAATGCATTTGATGACGTTATCGAGTTTTAGACGAGATTTAATTTTATGATCACCAAAAGCTTCTACTATAATGTGACTATCATATCCTCGAAAATTGTGAAAAATAACCGGAATAAAATCTGGAGCATGAAATTTTAAATTACACTGATTATGAGCCGCTCCACGGTACTGTCCGGTCAAATGGCAATGGTCATGTACTTTTTTGTCAGTCCTGACATTGTCAGGGTCAAAAGCTTTTTCACAAATATAACAAATTTCCGCTTGCTCGTGATCAGATTCTTGTTGAGGTGTTAATTTTAACATTGGTGTTACTCTTTTCAAACGATAATTAATATTATCAACTTCATTAATCAACTGCTTGAGAAGCCAGACAGCTGGATTTTTACCACGATAGTATTGGATTGGTTTAGATAATCTAGAATCAGTACAACAAACTACCTTGTACGCTACTCCACACGGAACATGATTTTAAACTTTTCTTGTACTCGATTGATTAGGATTATTTTCTACGCCAAGTACAGGTTGAAGTAAACACTCAAAATCAGCGTATATGACGAAAGGAATTCTTAGTTTGTGATTATGATGGACAAACTGTAACACACTATCTTTTTTAGATGGCATTGTTATTCTTTGTACATCACTACAGTACTGTAAATGCTTTTGTAATGTTTCATTGTTTGTACAGCCATGCAAGCAGCGGTAACAAAAGAACTTTTTGTTCTTATTCTTATTGTACTGTTTACCAACTAGTCCGTTAAAGTTTTTAATCCAAACATAATGATTTTTAAAAAACAGTAAATTTATAGTAGATTGTGAGGCTTTTTCTGAAATATATCTCGGATATACATCCTCTTTTTCATCTAGTCCGAAAACGTTAATTGAAACATTATTTTGCTTTTCAAATTTTGGTATTTGATTTTCTGCCACTGGAAAGTTAATATCTTTAAAATTTAATCTAGACACGTGACTGATATACTTCTCAACGCGATCAGCGTGTTTTTCTGCTGAAAATACCACGGAAAGAACAGCCCATTGGAAACATTTGTTATCTACGATTTTGATGTTTATACAACATCTTTTACTTTTTATTTTTGGTGGCAGGTCAATGTATGAACTACCTCGTAATGCGTTATATTTCATCGTGTGAAACAATATTTCTTTAATCATTTCAAATTTCCAACCCGAACCTAATTGAGTGAATTCCTTTATTTTTTTTTTCCAAATGTCTTGGTGTATTTCATTAGATAGTGATAACAGGTCAGTCCCAAACAAAACACGTCTTGATTTTGCGCTCATATAAGGATCTGTAAATATCTTTTCAGTTAATTCTTCCGTTATAACTAGCTTTGAAAATATAACATG